CTTTGTGGTCTCCATTTGCCCTTACCCATTTCAGAGCATTCGTCTATCTGAGCAACCTTTTGCATAATGTGCCATTAGTTCATAAAGTGGCTATCGTCAATGAGAAAGGAGATGTCCGCGGGTACCTGAAAGTAGCAATCGAGCCAGTAAATCTATGTAAGTTTTTCTCATGTGCCCTCTTTCACTCACAGAGCATGGTGTCTGATGCTATATGTATAATATGTTTCCTTATTCTATTATATTATCCTATCCTATGGTTATATTATTCTATCCTTATGGTTATATTTGTTACAGTAGAAGCTGACACACAGAAGAAGGGTGTCCGTCAGACAGCGAAATTGCATTTCCGCAAAGAGGATTTCTTGAAGACATGCAGGAACGGCGAAAACGAAGGTACTGGGTTTTTATTGCACTTTTGGGAGCAAGTCCGACCAAAGTTCAGCTTTCAGGAATACATCCAGTAAAGACTTGGAACCGGGAATAACTTTGGAAATTACTGTATCGTTGTAGTGTCTTATAAAATTTTCCTGAAATAATTATTTATGAGGTCCTAGCAAAGTCCTGAAGGAGAAATCGGTTGACCCACGAAACGATCTCGAGCGTTCCTCAATATTTTCCTCTTATTCTGCGTTTTTCTTTCCTTTACTTCCTCGTCACCATGATCTGTGAACTCTCATGGCTTAGACCCGAGAATGTAGGATTCAACACAGATACTACAGGCGGATTTCTAGCGATTGTTTTCAACTAATTGGGTTTTCCTTCGTAGAACAATTTTTCAAAATTCATTGCTAAATTAAAATAGCATGTAAAAGTTTTACTTTTCTTTTTTGTTCCTTTGGGATTGCCAAGAAAGGAATATGTTCATACTTCACATTATTGAAGGAATGAATTTTGGCTTTTCTCGGCTTCATTTCCCTGACCTCCAAACGTTTTCTTTCTAGTTAACAGTTATCTATCATTAAGTGGAACTACTCCTGGTCTGTTCTCGAATGATGAGCGCTGTAAGCCCCAGTGAAATGCCTCATTACGCCGCTTTTACCTGATGTCTCAATTATCGCCTTCAGATGAAAGCCAGCAATTGACGTTCCCACCACACATGAACGAGGATGAAGAGTTCTGCTTCCGAGTGGTTGTGCTACAAGCAATCGATGTCTCTGAGCAGTATTCGGATGTATTCTGTCAATTCAAGTCAGTATGAATTCATAGTTGGATTTGAGAATTTGTTGGTCGAATTTGGTTGAGTAGTACCAGTATTTCGAGAAAGGACCAAGTGAGAAATCCTCCTCCAGGAAAAGAACCTTACGAGGCTCCAGCTTAAGAACTTCTACAGAGACGCTATTTCCAGTTTCCTCCATCGTCATGACGAAGCGTTCTCTACGGAGCCACTGAAGAACACTGGTCGAGCACCA